CTGAGGTGAGGCTGCAGTGTGAGGTGAGAGGCAGGTGGGGTGGTGGGGGACAGCTGAGGGTGGGGGTACTGACGTGTGTAAGGGGTCATGCAGTGTGAGGTGAGGGAGGCAGGTGGGATGGTGAGGGGACAGCCGAGGGTGGGGGGGCACTGACGTGTGGGGTCATGCAGTGTGAGGTGAGGGGAGGCAGGTGGGGTGGTGAGGGGGACAGCCGAGGTGGGGGGTACTGACGTGTGTGAGGGGTCATGCAGTGTGAGGTGAGGGAGGCAGGTGGGGTGGTGAGGGGTCATCGGAGAGGGGTGGTGTGAGGTGAGGGAGGCAGGTGTTGACGTGACGCTCGCAGTGCAGCTGTGGTCACTCCTCCCCTCACACGACCTAATCAGCGAAAGAGCCAGCCCCACACACACACACGTATTCGTGTGCATGTAGTTGTAATTGTGTGTACGTATAGCAGTATATATTTAGTGTTTATGTACGTATATGACAATTGTGTATTTAATAAAATAAAAAAACATACATATAACCCGAAAGAGCTCTATATATAGTTCACCCCCAGGCAGGGAGGCTCACCACCTGGCACCGTTTAGCTCACCGCCGCGGGGAGGGAAGTCAGTCCTCGCGTAATTCAATTTGTTGGCCAGTTGGCTGGGGACAAGAGGACGGATGTGATGGTGCAGGGAGACCCGTCGCCACCATCACAGTGACGCCACCACCACCAGTGCCACCACCATAGTGCCATCACCACAGTGCCACCACCACCACTTGCCTATACAAAAAACCAATATTTCCCTCTATTTACACTAATAACTCCCTAATCAATCTCTTGAGAGAGAAACTTTTGACGACAACTCCGCCTCCCTTCCCCCGGCTGTGACAATCAGGAACGTGTGTATCGCCGGGTATTGAGAACCAGCCATCCAAAAACGAACCTTTCTGAGACGAGGCGTCGGGTTTAACAAAGCAACAAAGGCCAATCACTGATCCAAGGAGGTCGTCCAGTTCGCCTCTCACCTCTTCCCGTATTGTTTCGTATAAAAAAACATCTTTGACGGGAGAAAATACACTACGGCTCTTCACCAGTCTAATTGTATGTTAATGTGGGGCGTGTACAGGTGGTGGTGGGAGATATGACGTGTACAGGTGGTAGTGATGATGAAGGCGCTGAGAGAGAGAGAAAGTATGGGCCGTAAACACAACTCCACAACGAGCAAAACACACACACACACACACACACACACACACACACACACACACACACCTGGTCAATTAGATATATATGACGATCTTCCCCTCACACCTGGCGCTGATGACATGGCAACAACCACCACCGCTACCACCATCCGAGGCTTGTTGTTGCCTCATAAACAGAGACACACACACACAGACCACAACAACTTAAGGCCCAGGGACCACTTTCAGCTGACCATTTGTACACCTGGTGGATCTGTGTCACGTCTCACAACAAGTAAAGTGATAAAGTTGTTATAGTTTTGTTTTCATTATCATTATTGTCTTCATTATTATCACTGGAAGAAACCTTTATTATATTCACAATTATTCCAATTATTATCTCATTATCATCAGCTTCATCATTATTATTATTATTATCGATGTTATCAGTTAAAAATCACTAGTTTCATCTACAATTTATTCCATTTATTATTATCAATATTATCAATCAAAATAATTATCATCATATCTACAATTATTCTAGTTATCATTATCCTCATCAGGAAAACCGCTACAATCAGAGTACAGCATCAGGGAAAAAAAATCAACAACAGACAAAGGGAAACCGGTTACGACGAGGACCCAAAAAAAAAAATCAACCGCAGGAAAACCGCTACTATCAAGACCAATCAAGAGACACGAGGTGGACAAACAAACAAACAAACAAAAAATATATAAACAAAAGAAAGAAAGAGAGAGAGAGAGAGAGAGAGAGAGAGAGAGAGAGAGAGAGAGAGGCTCCCCAATCTTGGCTGATTCCCGCCCTTTTCACCCGTTGTTGAATCCAGTGTGTTGCGCCATGACGATTGGTAGGAGGGGAGAGAGAAATGCTTTTGTGTGGCTTGTGAGAAGAAGAAGAAGAAGAAAAAGAAGAATATAAAGGATGAAGAGAAGATATAGAGAATAAGAATAACAACAAAAAGAAAATTGGGGAAGAGAGAGAGAGAGAGAGACTGTTCACTATAACATTCATCCAATATTATATAATAGTTATATCAGTGTTATAAACGCGAGATAAAAGCGTTGTGTGGGCCGCTCGTGACCAGGCTGGGTACTGTGCTAATAGTCACGACACGACACGACCCGATGCTATTATCTGGTAGAGGAAGCGCCTAAAACATGGATAATACTACCACCAATAGCACTTATCATCGCCATCACTAGCAACGCCAGTATCACTAGCACCACCATCATAGCCACCACTACCATCACATTACTACGACCATCACTGTCATCACCACTACCATCATCACCCCAGCTAACAGTAACTTGAGGCACCACCATCATTACCATTAATCATCATCATCATCATCACCATCATTGCCACCACCACAATCTTCATCGTCAGTCATCACCACCCACCATCATCACCACCATCATTACCACTATCACCACTAGCAACATCACTACCACTAGCACCACCATCACTAGCAGCAGCAGTAGGGTAGGCAGGTGGTGGTGTGGCCGCCTCCAGCAAGTGACCTTGGTGTAAGGCAAGTCATTACCCCACATACTGTAGTGTTCCTTTACTCCCTCCTCACGCTGTTACTGCTACCATGATGATGATGATGATGATGATGATGATGATGACGACCCTGTTACTGCTACCATGATGATGATGAAGCATTTGTTGACGCAAATCTTTCAGTTATCATCACACCATCACCACAACCATAATCAACACTATTAACTCATCACAACTGCTACTATTGCTACTACCACCACCACCATCATCACCACCACACCTTCTACCACTACCCGGGACTACAATAACCACAACTACCACAACTACTCGCCTCTTTTATTTGATTTTCTACTTGATTTTTTTTTGTTTAACTGTAATAACACTACAACCACAACAACTAACTGGAGATGGTGGAGAAGGTGTTGGTGGTGGTGGTGATGGCAGAGGTTGTGGTGAAGAAAGTGGTGGTGAAGGTTGTGGTGGTGAAGGTTGTGGTGGTGAAGGTTGTGGTGTTGATGCGTCCCCAGGAAACTCGCTACCAAACTGGGAAATCCGGTCTGCACCACTGGCTTTGCCTCCCCCATGGTTCTGGTCCCCCATGGTTCTGCCCCCCACTTGGTCCCCACGAAGCCTCTGTTCCCCCTTCCTCTGGCTCTGTAAGGTTGTGCTCATCTGCTCGTCCCTTTAAACACTACAATATGTGCCAGTTTTTTTAATGTTCATCTGTCTCTTTCTTACACCACCCCCACACACACATCTGTCAGTTTGTGCAAGTTCATCTGTCTGTCCCATTAAACTGCTTAACACCTGTCAGATTATGTTGTACCTTTAAATCGCTTAACACCCGTCAGTTTCATATATCTGTGTTTCTGTACAAGTCTCTGTCTGTTCTTAACCAAGCTTAGGACTTTTTTATCATCTTGTGGCTAAACTGTTAAATGTTCCCCTTTTAATGACACAATAATTGTACGTATGTATGAATGTATGTATGTATGAATGTATGTATGTATGAATGTATGTATGTATGTATGTATGAATGAATGTATGTATGAATGTATGTATGTATGAATGTATGTATGAATGTATGTATGAATGTATGTATGTATGTATGTATGTATGTTTGTATGTATGAATGTATGTATGTATGAATGTATGTATGTATGTATGTATGAATGTATGTATGTATGTATGTATGAATGCAGTTAGTGGCCATTTATCCCTTCATACTGCCTTGAACAGATAGTGTGTGTTTATATAAGATTGTAATGCTCTTTAAACTGTCTAATCAAATCAGTGTCTATTTATGTGATGTTTTGGGCCCTTTAAACTGTCCTGCCTAACCAGTGTGTGTTTATATCAGGATGTTATGTCGCTTTAAACTGCCCAACACCCCTTCAATCTTTGTAAGTATACGGCTGTCAGTCCCTTTAAATTGGTCAACGGCTGTCAGCACGAACGACGAGCAGATTAAGTTAGCGAGATGTGAGAGAGTGAGTCACCAGGGGGGGACACGTGGTGACTGAGAGTGAGTCACCAGGGGACACGTAGACTGAGGAGTGAGTCACTGTGGGGACACGTGGTGACTGAGAGTGAGTCACCAGGGGGACACGGGTGACTGAGAGTGAGTCACCAGGGGGACACGTGCACTGAGAGTGAGTCACCAGGGGACACGTGGTGACTGAGAGTGGGTCAACAGGGAACGTGGGTGACTGAGAACGAGTCACCAGCTAAAGGAGATAGGGAGGTAAAGGGGAGAGTAAAGCCAGCTATATAAAGAGGGCAGGAGGGAGGGAGAATAAGGCCAGCTAGAGGGAGGGAGAGGACAGTAAGACATAATACAGCTACAATTATGATAGATGGTGGTGCACTTACCCTCGACCCTGCTGCATCCTCTCTCCCTCACACTACAACCATCCTCCCTCTCTCTCTCTCACTACCTTCATCACCTCTCTCTCCATGTATCTACCCACCTTCTTCCCTCCTTCTACCTACCTGTCTATCCGGACCTTCAGTGTAGGTTAAAAACAGCATCACCCACCACCCCCCAAAACCATGAATGAGATGGAGGGGAGATGAAGGATGCTGGGTATGGGAGGGGAGGGGAGGGGATGGGAGGGGATGCGAGGGGATGGGAGGGGATGCTGGGGATGCGGGTGTGGGGGAGGTGGGGTTGAGAGGTGGTAGGAGGGGATGGGAAGAGAAGGGATGCTGGAGATGGGAGGGGGGAAGGGGAGATGCCGAGTCCAGGAGATGAATGAAGAGCTCCATAATGCATATCCACAATCAATAACACCTTTGTACTCACCTGAATGGCCAAGGCAGCGGCTCCAGGTACACCAGCTCGCAAGCCCTCCCCCGAGACGCACCTGAGGGAGTACACACATTAATATTACTCCTATATGGATTTTGGCGAACCTCCTGATGGTCGCTTTTGTTTTGGTGGTTACAGGGGAGGAGAGGTGTGAGAGGGGGAGGAGAGGGGTGTGAGAGGGGGGAGGAGAGGGGTGGTGAGAGGGGAGGAGAGGGGTGTGGAGGGGGAGAGAGGGGGTGTGGAGGGGAAGAGGGGTGGAGGGGGGGAAGAGGGGTGTGAGGGGGAAGAGGTGTGTGAGGGGGGAGAGGGGGTGAGGGGGAGAGGGGTGTGAGGGGGGAGAGGGGTGTGGAGGGAGGAGAGGGGTGGGAGGGGGGTGTGGGAGGGGAGGAGAGGTGTGAGGGGGAGGAGAGGTGTGAGGGGACGAGGTTAGGTAGGGTGCGTGTGTAAGGTTTAGGTAAAGCATAATAGTACATTATTATCATTACTATTATTATTATTAATCATAAAAGCTGAATCACAACTTTTCTTTATTTCACTAAAATCCAATTTTAAACAAACAAGGATGAACTGACACACACACACACACACACACACACACACTAACCTGTACGTCCATATGGCAAGCTCTCCAATGACAGTCGACTCTCCCGATTTCCCACCACACTCCCAGATTTATATCCAACCTAAATGATTCACTCCGATTTCATAGAGGTTTTCGAAGCTTCAATGTTTTATACCATTAATGACACTACAACCATAACTACTACTTACCATCACAACACTACCCAGTACCACAACACCAACACGACCACTTTCACCACCATCACTACCACGACCACGAGACACCATCACCACCACTACTACCACCATCACCACCACCACACCTAAATCCCCAGACCGTCGCACCACCACCACTATAAATCTTACGGACTTAAATACGACAAACCCAAAAGCCTGAGTCGTTTGTCATATTTTTGGCTTAAGGCGTCGGGCGAGCGGGCTTTTGGGCTTTTGTAGGGATTACGTCAATGACACCCGTCGCGCCATCGACTCCCAGACCCGCGGTGTGGCACTAGTGTGGTGGTGGCAGTGTGTGTGTGTGTGTGTGGTAGAGTGGCATAAGGCAGAGGTGTGTGGTAGTGGCGGAGGTGTGTGGGTGTGGTAGAAGTGTGTGGTGGTGACAGATGACAAGTGGTGGTGTGTGGTAGTAATGTAGTACCGGTAAATGATATGGTGTGCGTGCGTGCGTGCGTGCGTGTATGTATGTATGGTGGTGATCGCGTGTGGTGGTAGTAGTAGTTTGTGATAGTTGTATGTGGCAGTAATGCGTGGTATTGTTGTGTGGCACTATATAACATTAACACTGAGGTGGCACTGTTTGGGGTACTGGGTGAGTGTGTGACTAGACGTGAAACTAGTGTGCTAAGTTTGGGCTGGTGTGATGGTAGTGTAGAGTGGTAGTGTGGTGGAGTGGTAATGTGGTAGTGTGGTAGTGTGGTAGAGTGGTGGAGTGGTAATGTGGTAGCATTGTGTGGCAGTGATCATGTAGATGTGTATGGCACTTCCGTATGTGGTATAGTTGTGTGGCTCTCTACGTGGTATTGGTTGCTCTGGCACTTGTGAGAGGTATTCCGTCTGGCACTGTGGTCTTATGATACGAGATCCCCCAAACGCACCAGGAATGTATCACACACACACACACACACACACACACACACACACACCAAAATATGAGCATCTAACCTTCCTCCCCTACACTATGACACCTCGGCTTGACAGTTGTGTTTATAAAAAGGAAACCGAGACATTCTAAAGAGGAAGGCCACCCCTCCTTCCTCCCTCCTTACCTACCTACCTCCCTCATTCTAAAGAGGAAGGCCACCCCTCCTTCCTACCTCCCTCCCTCCTTACCTACCTACCTCCCTTCCTCCTTACCTTACTACCTCCATTTATCCCTACCTACCTCTGTACCTCCCTACATCTAATCCCTCTCTACCTCCGCCCCTCCCTATACCCTAGGCGTCACTCATCTAACCCACAAAAATAAAAACAAAAGCACATCATTACCCAACAGCTCCTAGAAAACAAAATCCTCCAAAGACGATATTTAACCTTTTTTATGAGCAATATTTATACCGCCACCCCACAAAAAAATAATAAAATAAAAAAAATACGAGAAGAAAAAAGTTTATAATCTGGTGTTAACTAGTGGTAGATGACTTTAACAGGGGTATATATATATACGTCTTAAAAGAGACTATTTGGCGCCATTTTTAGCCACAAGGTCAGAGAGGAAAAAAAGTGTAGGAGTAAAATATGAACCATAACAGCATGTGGTACTTTATCTTACTGCTTCTTCTCTGTACTTATTTATCATTTCTTTTTTCTCTTCTTCCTTCTCTCTTCTTGTTCCTCTTCTCTTTGTTCTTTTTTTTTATTCACCTCCTCTTCTTTTGTTCTTTTTCTTCTTCTTCCTTCTCTCTTTCTTGTTCCTCTTCCTCTTCATCCTCTCTGTTCTTACCCCCTTCCTTCTCCTCCTCTCAGTAGTTCTTCCTCATCTTCATCCTCTTTTTTCCTCCTCTCCGTTCTCCTTTTTCCCCCTCCTCCTCCTCATCCTCCTCTCTTTTCTTCTCCTTCCTTTTCCTCCTCTGTTCTCCTTCGTTTTCCACCTCCTCCTCTTCACTATGTCATGGGGGAATCCAGGCGGGTCAGCAGCGAGCGTGAAGGACATCTGCTCCACCACCCCCCCCCCTTCCATCCTCATCCCCCTCACCTCTCCACCATCATAGCTTTTCTCTCCTTCCTCTCACCCCCCTCACCTCTCATACCTCTCCATCCTTACACTTCTCCTCTCCACCCTCACACCTCACCCCCTGCCACCAGAGCTAGTCAAACCCTTCTCGTTCTGGGGGGCTACTCTTTATTTTTCGGGGCGCTATTCGAACAAGTCTGGGGGCTACTTTTTTTTTCTGGCTTGGATACATTTTCCACGACTACCACACACAAACCCCCTGCCTTGGGGCTACCTGGGCTACTCCCTATGTTCTGGGAGGGAGGGACTACCCGACTATACATTGCAGGGATAATTCGCATTCTGGAGGAGAGATGGGGCTACTCATCTTAATTTCAGGGACTTAAAGGATACAAAAAATCACCATAAGACTATCACATTACTACTTACCAGTCCTCATTATATTCCCATCCTCACAATCGTCTTAAAACAACCAAAATTATCGTTTCAAAAGACAAAAAAAAAATAAGATAGTCATTCCTTAGTCTCATTTCCAGAGTACAATAGTCCTAATATACTATCATACCTGCACTTGTATTATAACAGGTATATTACTATTAGATAATATAGCTCTTCGTTCAGGATAATATAATGTATACTGTGTTAATACAACGTCTAGTGTAATAGTGTGTTTCCTGTGGATGAACCGACTACTGGCGATGCAAGATGATGGTGGTTGCAGTCCACAGCCGGACCATCCGAGCTCTCTCTCTCTCTTTCTTACTATCTTTATCTCTACCTCTCACTTATTATCTTTATCTATCTCTCTCTCTCTCTCCAAACAGAAGACTGACCTAAAAACACTAATATACGTTCTCTAAAAAAAAAAGTTTGCTTTCTATTCTTCCATTCATCTTTTTTGTTTAGCTAAATATGGAGGGAGACAGACAGAGAAAGAAAGAAAGACAAAAGAGAGAGAGAGAGAGAGAGAGAGAGAGAGAGAGAGAGAGAGAGAGAGAGAGAGAGAGAGAGAGAGAGAGCTGGCCGGGATAGCACTGATCAATAGAATGGCAGGGAAAGTGTGTTGCCTGAATTGCGCGCCTCCCTCGTGTCCTTCACTATCCTGCTGCAAGTGAGGATGGTGATGATAATAATGGTGCAAATGATGGTGATAAAGGGTGAAAATGGTGAAAATTATGGTGATAAAAGGTGATAATGGTGCAAATGATGATGATGATGATGATGATGATGATGGTGCAAGTGGGGAAGAGGAGGAGGAGGAGGATGGCGAGTGATGATGGTGATGATGGTGAGGAGGAGGATGGTTATTATTATGGTGATGATGATAATAGTGAAATTGTAAATGGATATAAATGGATATAATAACAAAGCAATCAGAAGCATCACACACACACACACACACACACACACACACACACACACACACACACACACACACACACACACACACACACACACACACACACACACACACACACCAACTGCGACAAGCAAAATGCATCACTACCAGAGACACTTCACTAACACGATGCTCCATAACTGCACCACCATACAATGACGCAACATAGAATGCAACATCGTCATATGTACTTACTAAGCATTGTAATGGCACCATACTAAATACACCATACTTTCATACTCAGCATCATTACATCGTTCTCAACACCATAACCACATTATACTTCAAAGCACCATAACCACAATATATACGCACCGTCTACCATAATTCGCCAACACCATAATTTCGCCATATTCAGAAGCACCATAGACACAATATTATACACTACGCACCCTAACAACAAGCTGCACACCATATCCATAACATCAATCATGGTTGGGTTAGATTAGGTTAGGTAGGGTTAGGTTAAGTTAGGTAGGATTAAGCTGGGTTAGGTTAGTTTAAGTTAGGTACGGTTAGGTTAGTTTAAGTTAGGTACGGTTAGGGTAGTTTAAGTTAGGTACGGTTAGGTTAGTTTAAGTTAGGTACGGTTAGGTTAGTTTAAGTTAGGTACGGTTAGGTTAGTTTAAGTTAGGTACTGTTAGGTTAGTTTAAGTTAGGTACGGTTAGGTTAGTTTAAGTTAGGTACGGTTAGGTTAGTTTAAGTTAGGTACGGTTAGGTTAGTTTAAGTTAGGTACGGTTAGGTTAGTTTAAGTTAGGTACTGTTAGGTTAGGTTAAACGTCCGGGACACACTCCCTCAAAGGTCCGGGACCGCCGTGTCCTCCATAAACGTGCTGGTCCAGACGTCCTTGTCTAAACAACCTAGCCAAAATGTCCTACATACACACACACGTCCGGCTGAA